GGCGCGTGTGCGTGCGTGCCCAAGATCCCGAGAGGAGAATGGAGGAGAAGGGATTGCAGCATGACCATCTCCCCTGGGGGGTGATTTCTCGCTTTCTGTCTCTATGTCTCTGTCTGTCTGGCGAGTGCACGCGCCCTATAGCAAAAACCTCTCAAAAAATAAATGAAATTAAAACATTATTTAATTAGTCAATTACTATTCTTTAAAATTTGATCAGAGAGAGACAGAAAGTGAGAAAGCAAGCCGCCAGGTCTGGGACTCCAACCACGATTGGCCACGTGAGAGTCTAGCACCTTAACTTTGATGCTGCCTGCCAGCTCCTAATTACTTTGTTTTAAACATAAAATCAACTGGATATATTTAAAATGTTCAGTTTGGGGCTGGCAGGTGGCATGGTGGTTAAGGGCACTGGACTTTCATTTGGCTGACCGTGGTTCAAGTCTCAGACCTGGTGGCTTGCTTTTTCACTTCCTCTTTCTCTTTGTCCCTCACTGGTCAAATTAAAATAAGTAAATAAATAAAGTTAAATAAAATAATTCTTTCAAAAAAAGATCATTACAGAATAACTTAGACTTATTTTTTTTTTAAAAAAAGATGAAGTGTTCAGTTTAATTTTGACAGATGTCTTTTATCTGTAAAATTGTAACTGTACTTAAGACTTTGAGAATAACTGTCAACCCCAAAAAGTTTATTTTCAGGTTCTTGTAGACCGTCTTCTTGCCCACTCACCTCTGTTCCCAGGCAGTTGCTCATCTGCTTTCTGTCACTGAAGATTAGTTTTTATTTTCTAGAGCTTTATACAAATAGATTTTCCAACATGTATTTTTTATGTTTCTTCTTTAACTTGGCGTAATTTTGATTTTTAGCTGTGTTGATGAGTGTGTATAAATTTGTTTTCTGCTCTTTTTTATTGTGAGATGTCCATTGAGTGGCGATACCACCCTTTTATCTGCTTCCCACTCTTTTTCATCCCAAGCTGAGCCTAAGGTTTATTGAGGGAGATTCATACACACCCCACAGACAGAATGGGCCGACGCCACGGGAGGCAAACAGTGCCAGCTCCTTCCCAGGGCACCCTTTTATCCTGTTTAGATTCTTTATTTAATCTAAAACTGTATGCCCTTAGACCTCCTTTTACCTGTTAATTTTTCTGTTAGCTTATTCCTCATTTTTGTTTCTTGTAGTTGATGCTGCAGGGATCATTCCCCCACCCCCCCTGCTTGTTTATTTTTCTGCAAGACCAGGAGTCATAGGTTTCCCTTCCAGGGTCGTCTCTCGACAGTCCCCCTTCAGCCTCTGGCAGACTAGATCATTGGCGCACACACGTGCACACAGTGTACAGGGAGGCCTTGAGACGTGGACCCAGGACCTTCCCAGTTGGGTCCAGCGTGGTGGAGCATGGCGTTAAATCTGTGCCACCTGTGTTTCTCCTGTTGATGATGGGAAGTCAGGTTGTTTCCAGCTGTTAAAGTGTTTAACAATGTTTATTACAATGTTTGTTAAGTGTTTAACAGTGTTTATTTGAGCAGAGTGTGATTTATGAATTGGGTACTTTCTTTAGTGAAGCGTGTATTCAGATCATTTGTTCTTTTTTTGTACTTAGATTTTCCTATTGAGTTTTGGGAATTCTTTTTGTATTCTGGAGACAAGTTGTTTTCCAGATAATGGTATTTGCAGGTAATTAATTCTGTTGGGTTGTCAGAAAAGTCATGATGCATTTATTATTTTAATTTGCTCACCAGGGAGAGAGGGAAAGTAAGAAAGCAAGCCCTAAGGTTTGGGATTCGAATTGGTGTCGACCATGTGGGAGTCAGTGCCTCAACCACCATGCCACCTGTGGGCCCCCATCTTTCATTTTGTTAACAATCAAATTACAGAAATTAGTCCTATTGATGAAATCTAGTTTATTACTTTGGTCTTTTTTCTCTTTTATGGTTCATGTTTTTGTGTTGTACCTAAGAAATCTTTGTCTAAACCGGGACCTCAAAGATTTTACCCTTATTTTTTTTCCTTCCTTAAGTTTTATAGTTTGATGTTTTATAAAATGTTATGTTATTAATCCAGTTTGAATTAATTTGTGTATATGGTATGAGGTATCAATATCTAATCATTGCACTTTGATTTGTCGAAGAGGTTATCACTTCTTCCCCAGATCACGTTTGCACATTTGAGGTAAATCGGTTGACGTGTGTATAGATCTCTCTTTTTTCTTTTATCCGTTAGTCCTTCATTATGCTGTTACCACACAATTGGTTTTTGAATCTTTATAATAATATTTGAAATTAGGTAGTATAAGACTTCTAACATTATTGTTCTCTTTTAGAGGTTTTTGGGTTTTTTTTTTTTAGCTTTTTGTTTTAGAAATGGGATCTTGCTGTGTTGCCCCAGGCCAGCCTTGAACTAGTGGTTCTCCTGTCTTTGCTTCCAAGTAGCTGGATGGTAGGCTACAGGCCCTGGCCTTCTAATTTATTTATTTTAGATTTTTACCATAGGGCACTTGTGCTCATCAGGGACAGAGAGAGAGAAAATGAGAAATCACTTACCAGGGGGATGGCTGTACCACTGTCTCTTCTCCTCCATCCATCTCATTGGATTTTTTTTTTTTTTTGGAGAGGTTTTCGCTATAGGGCGCGTGCGCTCGCCAGACAGACAGAGACATAGAGACAGAAAGCGAGAAATCACCCCCCAGGGGGGATGGTCACGCCGCAATCCCTACTCCTCCATTCTCCTCTCGGGATCTTGGGCACGCACGCACACGCGCCCGGCATGAGATTTAAGCCACCGGGTCCGAGACGCGAACCGCGGTCGACTACATGGGAGTCCAGCGACATAGCCATTACGCTAACTGCTGGTTCCCCATCTCATTGGATTTTGGGCATGCATCCATGCCACCGGGTCAGGGACTCAAACTGTGTTCTACCATATGGGAAGCCAACATTTAACCACCACACCACCTGCTGGCCCCTCAAAGTTTTTGAATTTATCAGAAGGTGTGTGAGCTTACCAAAAAGAGACAGAGAGAAAGCACCCCCAAATGGGGCATGGTCACAATCCTTTTTCTCCCTTTTCTCATCCCCTCAGGATTTTTGGACATGTAAACACATGCACCTGGCATTGAAGCTACCAGGGTGGGATTCGAACCATGATCTGTCATGTGGTATCTGGTTTTACAATGCACAGTGCATAACCACTGTTGTATAGGTCTGGCCCTATTTGCAGAATTAGAGCACAAATCTAGAGCCCTCTGATTCCAAAATTCACATTGTTATCCCTTATGCTGTTAAGTTGTTGGAAAAGCCATGGCGTGTTTTTCTGTGCACAAATGCATCATAACTTTCCCGACAACCCAATATATTTCCTCAAGGCGCAAAGACATGGTTTGCTTCGATTGTAATAAAGTGTTTCTTGAGCTATTGTGGATATACAGTATAGAAGAGTTTGAAAGCTCCAATGCCTACTGCAGGCCAGGTTGTCATATAATAGAGTGGGGACATATGTGAAGGACTGCAAAGCCCATTCCCCAGACAGAGGTTAGCCTCTAATAGCTCCAGCAGATTGTTAACACGTGGGAATGTGGGCCTGCTGTTGCCAGATCTGATTTTTCTTGAGAGGTTGGAAATCTGGATTTTAACGTAAAAGTCTTCCGATTCATCAGTGTAGGCAGCTATCCTTCAATAAAGATACCTGTGTGCTTGAGTCTGCCCTGGGGGTAACCTTTGGTAGAGTTGTGCTTAGTATGTTTATGCTGTAGAAGCAACAGTCAATTTATATGATGGGAAAAGCGAACATGGTGCTTAGTGAGTCTAATGTTTGAGTTCACTTTTCGGAGGATCAGTTAATTATAGGTGGGGGTGGAAGGATTTGTTCTTTGCAGCTTTTTTGCCACCTAATTGCATGCTTTCATTTACAGATAGGGTCAGTTTCAAGTGTGTGAATTTTTCATTGAAACCTTGAACCCAAATGAGAAGAAACTTTCAAGAAGTAACTGCTGAGAGTGAGTCTACAGCGTCGTCTGTATGCATGATATGGAATGCTCTCAACCCTGAGACAGCTGAATGGGTGACTGACTTCCTTGACAAAGAGTGGTAAGTCTGACTTATCCCTACTTATAATTAAAAAGCCTAAATCCTTTTCATAAAGAACACTGCTTCTCCTATATTGTTAGTATTTACTGGAGAAGAGTAAGTTAGTTTTTGTAGTTTAGAGAAGGAAAACAGTGCAGTTTAAGAGAATTCTTTATTTCTAAGAGCATGTCTGATTTATATATCAGAGTGTGACTTTCTTGTAGTTTGGCAAATCACTTCTTTTTCTTACGTATTTTCCTGCTTGTTTTTTTGTAATAATGATTTTTTTTTTTTTGCTTTTAAGTTATTTATTTCATGAGCAAGAGAGAGACGTGAGAGCCAGTTTTGGCCAATGGGACTACAGCGTCGTCTGTATGCATGATATGGAATGCTCTCAACCCTGAGACAGCTGAATGGGTGACTGACTTCCTTGACAAAGAGTGGTAAGTCTGACTTATCCCTACTTATAATTAAAAAGCCTAAATCCTTTTCATAAAGAACACTGCTTCTCCTATATTGTTAGTATTTACTGGAGAAGAGTAAGTTAGTTTTTGTAGTTTAGAGAAGGAAAACAGTGCAGTTTAAGAGAATTCTTTATTTCTAAGAGCATGTCTGATTTATATATCAGAGTGTGACTTTCTTGTAGTTTGGCAAATCACTTCTTTTTCTTACGTATTTTCCTGCTTGTTTTTTTGTAATAATGATTTTTTTTTTTTGCTTTTAAGTTATTTATTTCATGAGCAAGAGAGAGACGTGAGAGCCAGTTTTGGCCAATGGGAGACAGAAGGAAAGTCCACGAGGCTTCTAGGGAAGGTTTTCAGATGATACCTATTTGGAGGAGAACAGGACCAAGGGAGTTGGTCCAGAGCCCCATTTCCTGTGCCTGAAGCCACCCTGCCTGAATTCTTCATTATTTAAGCACTTGTGCCCTGAGATTTGACCATCTGGAAGCCAGCTCTTAGTGCATAGCACTTAGCTACTGTGCTATGGGGCTGGCCTGAGATGTGTTGAGATTTCAGAATTTTTAGTATTTTAATTTGACATATATTATATATACATTCTTTCATGATGAGAGAGAGAGAGGGGCAGACCGACCCTCCCCAGGGTCTGGTCATGCTGTGCTCCTCTTCCTCCAGGCCTCCAACTCATTGGGTCTTAGGCAGTTCAGGCTGACTGGGCTTGGATTTGAACAATGGTTGCCATATGGGCTTCAGCCTGTCTTGAGTAGTATATTACCACTGTGCCATGGAGCAGGTGCCATATACCCTATATCGAATTATGATTACGATGAATATCTTGTTTGTTAATGTTTCTAATGTTCCGTCAAATTATTACATTATTGGAGTGTTTGTAATGTTTCACCATCGTTCATTAAGCCAGCCTTTTAGTGTGTTTTAGAAATAACATGTAAAACAGATTAACTCACTCCAGGTTTATTAAAATTTTTTAAAATCATAAGTAGAAGTTAAATACTACTAATTCTCTTTGACATCTGTGTAGGTCAGATTTAAAAATGAGTAAAATTTGTTTAAAATGGTTTTTAAAAGTGTCCCAGTTGCTACAATCTCAAAATTAAGTTATTTTTACTGAATTATACTGCCCTTTAGTGTCTATGTGGTAGTCTTTACACTTCTTTTTTTCCTTGGTAAATTAAAGAATATAATGCTTCTTTTGTTTTTACACTTTATAAAAATATTTATTATAGTCTTATCATTTTCTGATTTATATTTAATTTATTTTGTTATTTAAAAAATAATCACGGCCTGGTGTGTAGGAGTTCAGTAACTATTTGCTGAACACATTGCTGTGGGTACCAGCGTGCTAAAGGCTGGGTGAGGGCTAGGTATTTAGCATGCACAAAGGCACGCAATTTATTCATCAAAAGTGAGAGAATAAGAAAATGTGCACATTGTAGAAAAATTGTCAAATGTATAAGAAAAACGGGATATTCTTTCAGAGCCTAAATAGCTCCAAATTTTTCCTTTCTAAATATAAACATCTGTAAAGAAGGAGCTTAGGAGATTATCAGGGAGTAGAATAATTGGTATTATCCTTTCAGCTTTGAAGTTTGATTCAGTGTACAGTCCTGCACCACATAATGACGTTTCAGTGACACAACACCTATGTGATGGTCACCCCATAGGATTATAATAGGCTACGTCAGGAGCCTCGGTAGGTAGTAGTCTGTGCCCTCTGTACTCTGATGCTCACACGAGGACATCACCTGACAAGGCATTTTGCACAAAGTATTCCTGTTGTGAAGAGATGAGAACATTTTTAAAGTCTGGTAGTAGTTTCATAATGTGAGGGAATGGAAGCTAATGTTTAATATCCAGTGTTTTTTAATATTTATTTATTTAATTCCATTCATTATTATTATTATGTTTTTAATTTGACCAGAGAGGCAGAGAGAGAGAGAAAGGGAAAGTGAGAACGCAAGCCGCCAGGTCCGGGACTCGAACGAACTCGCAGTCAGCCATGTGGGAATCAGTACCTTTAATCACCACACCACCTGCCAGCTCCCAATACCCAGTGTTTTGATTAATAGTCCAGGTTAGAAGTATCTGGGAAGATGGGGTTGGCAGGGGGTGTGGTGGTTAAGGGTGCTGGACTCCCACATATCTGACTGCAGTTCGAGTCCTGGACTTGGCAGCTTGCTTTCTCATCCCCTTCCCCACCCCCTGCTTTGTCCTTCTCTGGTCAAATTAAAATAAACAAATAAATAAAGTTAAATAAAATAATTTTTTAAAAGAAAAAAGTATCTGGGAATAAAGCTACGTGCTGTGCTTATGTAGAGCTGACAGCCCTAATGTCAGTCCCACTCGGGGGCTAAGCGCTGTGTAGTAATCCTTGCACGGCAGCTGGAATTTATCGTTGCTGTTGCCTTATGTCCTCACTGTAAAGGCCATGATTTCAGTGAAGAAGCCATGAAAGCAACTTTTTTGTGGTTTTTATTAAGGAGTCTTTTCTAGACAGCATGGAGAAAATGCTCTGCTTGTTTTGTGCCCTATGGACAGAAGCATGTTTTTATGGACATGTATGAAAGGGACCATTTCATCTTTGAAAAGAGGCAGTCCCATGCAAGGTACTTATTTTAAGTTATTTCTCAGATAATTGTGAATTCACTTTTTTTTTTTTTTTTTTTTTTTGGGGGGGGGGGGGGGGGGGGGTTGCAGCAACTACTGCCAGTTTACTTAGTTGAATCTGTCTTTATATTATCTCCTGCCAATCCTTTGTTAATGTCACAATTACAAACAGGAGAAATCTAACGAGAAGAAAAACACACTAAATACAAACTCTCTTACCTATTAATTCAGATGTCAGACCATCCACATTAAGTGCAAAGAAAATTAGTCCTGAAATTTAAAAAGACAATAGCATGGGCAACTATAGAGAAGATTACTAGAGCAACAAATATATATTTTTGATCTAAAAAATAAAACATTACAGTTCAAGCTCTTCCAATGCATTATGTACAAGGGCCACCTACTGGCCCCAGGTAAACAACTGTCAGAGGATGCATTTCAGGTCTTTGAAATGTCAGTGATCAGAAACTTGGGACAAACCAGTTCTTAATACCTAGGAAGGGGACAGTAGCTATGGTCAGATATTTAGACATTTAAAAATAAATTATCTTGGGACCAGTAGATGGTGTAACAGTTAAGTCACTGGACATTCATGTGGTTGACTACAGTTTGAGTACCAAACCTGGCAGCTTAGAACTCATGCTGTTATGTGTTTTTCCAAAAATTGTGGATTCCATTTTTTTTTTTTTTTTTTTTTTTTAGTGAGAGAGAGGAGAGAGGTATTTTTAACAGGCTCTTACCACGCCGTGACATTTCCACTGTAGCCTCCAGTTAGCTAGGATTGTAGTCTCACACGTCTGAGTAAGTCTGAAATCCCAGTTTGAACCTTCCATGTGGCCCCAACAACATGCAGCTGCACCCTGCTGCCTGTGCCACCATGCTGAGCTGTGAATGCCTTTAAATACGTGTTCGCTGGAAAATGCTTGTATTGTAGGGAATGACACCAGTTAATAAATGAAATGTGTTGTCTTCAGGTGAGCCACTTGTACGATCAGATCCTGAGGGGCAGCACCCTGCTCTGCCTCCCCTACTGTTTTCTTCTGTTTAAGTACGAATGAATCACCCAGGGAACAGTCTAGGCTATACTTAACCTGAAGGAGTTTTGCTAACCTTAGCTCTTTTCCCGAACATAATTAAAATTCCATGTTCTACATAATACAAGAATGCCAACCTAAAAGATAACTGCGTTTTAATAAAACACTGTCACCTTGTACTTTCCACGGAGTTGTTGGTTTGTTTACTTTTAATTGAAAATAGTTTTATCTTCATGTTCTTGTCAGTTTAGTGTGAACTTTTCTCACAAGATGACTTCAGTCAAAAAATTGCCATAACAGACCAAGGTCAAGCAGTTTTTAAGGATTTTATCCAGAGGACAGAAGTACATGAGGTCTTAGTAAAAAATGCAAAAGGATTGTACATTGTCTTTAGGTCTGGTTCCCCCTCCTCCCCCTCCTCCCGTTTCCAAGAATTTTAGGAACATGGTGTTCTACAGCAATATTAATAGCTTATAAAATATTTCCCATTTTGAGTAAATTGCTTGCAGTTTTGGTTTCCTGACTTGAAGTTTCTGAAATTGTTATTCCAAAATTGTTACTGCACAGTGCCTATTCCTTCTTGTAAGTGTTCATTCTTCAGAAGTATTGCCTTGTGTCAGTATCTAACAGTAACAGATTATGACTACACTGTAAGTATTAGAAATAATTTTTTAAAAACTTTTGCCAGACTTTAAACTTCTTGACTGCAGTTTACTCCTTCATGACAGTTTTTATCTGGACTCTGAAGACTCAGGGGCTGCATTTATTTAGTGCGAGTTGGTAGAGAAGGGCACAAGTGGTGGCATGGCTTGGGAGGGGTGGGAGTTTGAGAAAAGATAATGAAATCCTTTATGTCCCTTTCCATAGACCTGCATTTCAAAGACTCACATTTTAATAAGAATTGATTGTGCAGCTGCAACCCTGGCAACTAGGCCTAGGAAAAAAGAATTGGGGCAGCTTTCCAGAAATCAAGGCCTGGTCTCATGTAGAGCTGAGCTAATGGAAGAGATAAAAATATAAAGCATTTAGTAGAAATAAGACCAGTCTTTCTTTAACATAGTGGCTGTTGATAGTTTTCACATGTATTTTATTTTAAAAATTGAAAAGCTGTCTCAAGCAGCTTACTCAATAAGACGATATTAGATTCTCCTTTGGTATACAAATAGCCTAAATACTCTGAGAAGTTAATATTTCTGTATGTATTTTATCTAAAATGTAATTGCTTTTTGGTCATTCTTAGTGAAGTCTAGATGTTTTCAAACTACAAGGTACTAGATTTGTCAAACTTTTTAAAACAAGTTTTTAGGTTTTTATAACTTTAAA